AATTCTAATGTCAGGGAAACACTATAAAATGGGAAGAGCCTTTCCCATGTTATGTGTCTAGGTGAACACAAAAAAATTCTACTCCTAGTTGAAGTTCATCAAGGGGCTTATAACAATCATATTGGCAGGCAAACTTTAGCCCATAAGCTGTTAAGAGGATGTTACTATTGGCACTCACTGATGAGGGACATCATGGATTTTGTTAATAAATTTGACAAATTCCAGAGGCATGCTAATATACACCATGCACCGACTAAACTCTTCCATTCTATGACAATGATTGATAAATGAAAAGTTGTAGTTGTTATATACTTTTTGTTGCACTTATCGATTCTTTGTTGTTAATATCAGTTGAATAACCCTGCTTTTTGTTGTAAATATGTTTAATTTCGTTTTGTGTACATATTGTATCATTTGATTAAGTTTTGATATTGTTTGTAGGTAATTAAGCATTTATAGAGAAACAAGAATAAACCTCCAAGATGCATTTTTGGATCAATAAATGAATAAGGCAAAAGATTGGAGCCATTGGAAGTTATGCAGGAAAGTAACAGAAGTTGTTGGACCGTCATGAATCATTGTTCCCAAATTCCATCACCTTCATTTTTTATAGTTAGAGCTTACACAACAACATTTGTGGCTTGCAAATGGATGATCCGGGGTTGTGAGCTTGATGGATCGTATTTGACACCATGGGAAATCTGATTTATTCTCCTCTTCCTCTCTTTGTAACCATTATTTGTTGGATTTTGTATGTAACTTTACCTTGACTATATGTATATTTATTGCTCATGGTGTTGTATAAAACTTTCTTTATAAATCTTTATTGATGTTTATCTTTGTTAGCTTTATAAGTGTTTGGGTTTGAGTCGTCATAGAGATGGACGGATTGAATCCAGATTTAGGCTTAGTAATCACTTAGGTATCGACTCTTAATGCATCTGTGTTGTTTTGTGTTGTGCTGAAAGATCTCCAACATGGATCGACCTGTTTGATATCTCGCTCTGCGTTAGAAATGACCTATGTGTGAGTGATACATGGTGATATTGATGAGTAGTTAAGGTTAAGTGCAACTGGGTAGTAAGTTTAAGTATGTGATAGGGTAGAAGAAATACAAACTCGAGAGTTCTATCCTATTCGAATGATGAAATTCATCTTGTGTGTATAATTTTTATGTTCACTTATTTTCCTTTCTATATAAACCAAACCATTTATCCCTAAACTCATTAATGAATGATTTGTCGAATATTAATTCAATAACAAATCTCTATAGACACGATACAATATAACCTATATCACCCGGTAAAATAATACTTTACTTTTTGCTTGCCGCTATATACCACAACAACAAAATGGCACCATTGGCGAGGATTGGTTCTATTAGTTTCACATTGCAATAATTCTTTTGTTTTTCATTTTTGTAATTAATGTATATGTTGTACTGAAATTGTATATTGACTTGTATATGATGTTTGTGCATATATGTGTTTTCACATATTGTTGTGAATTGCCTCATTTTCGTAATGTTTGTTGTGTGATTGTTAGGAAGCTTTCTTTAGGTTTGCGCAGTGTGACAATACCATGACATGACGAGAGGAGGTTACTAGCTCGCACAATAAAGGAGTCAAGCTTATGACGTAAAATAAGCATGTTTGTTTGTATTTGTTTATGTGTTTGGTAATTTGTGTTTTAACAAGTTGAAACAAGGAAATATTCTGAATTTCAAATCTTCACTTTTTAACTTGTTGATTCATTTTCACCCAGTTTTCATATTGTTATTTGTTTTTGTTTTTTATGTCAAATTTTATTTTCCGAAAGCTATTCGTGTTTAGCTTGAGGAGTTTTGTTCGTTGTATATATTGTAAATTTTGTACATTGAAATTTTGTAGGAGTATTATATTTCTAATTCTTTTGATTTTTGTTTGGACTCCAATTTTGGTCCAATATCTTGAGGAATTTAGAGGCTATTTTCCAAGTCTGAACGTTTCAACTTGCGGATGTATGGTAATGATAGTGTTTTAAAGCTGGTACACATCAGGTACTCATTTATCGCTTTCTAGAATATGACATGTTTAGGAGACTTTTCTTTTGTACAATTGTCATGCCATTCATTCTTTTGCAAATTGTGTTCACTTTTGAATCACTTTAGAACTAAACCCTTGTGAGGTTTCTTTCCATTGTTTACTATATGCACGGGAGACTTACAATTTTGTCTTAACTTAATTTTATTATGTTTAATCTTGTATTTATTTTGATTCGTATGAAAGTCTGACATTATCAAGGCAGTTTGTTTGATTTTGAGAACAATCACCTAGCCAGATAGTCAATTTCACCTTGTGTGTGTGATCATTTGTAACCCCTTTGAGCCTTTTGTCACTATCCATGTTGTTTGAACTTGATGCTTGTCTATGAGTGTTGAATTCACTTTTTGAATGGATTTTGAATGTTGTTTTTTCTTGAGCCCTCAACTTTGTGTTGTTGTATGAATTTTTACCTTGCC